TTATTTCTAGGAGAGAGAGAGAGAGAGAGAGACAGTGTGAGCAGGGGAGGGTCAGAGAGAGAGGGAGTCACAGACTGAAACAGGCTCCAGGCTCTGAGCTGGCAGTCAGCACAGAGCCCGACGCGGGGCTCGAACCCACGAACCGCAAGATCATGACCTAAGCGAAAGTCGGACGCTTAACCGACTAAGCCACCCAGGCGCCCCACCTGCCTTCTGACCGAGGGATCCCACACCTTCCTTTTCACCACGTCCTGCAAATTACACAGCGGGCTCTGCTTCAGCCCCTTCTGCAGGCTCCGGATTAATTGTCTCCAGATACAGCTTTAATTAGGCCACTCCTCAGCTCAAAGGTCTTCGCCGGCTTCCTGTGGCCTCAAAGGACGGAGTCCTGATTCTTTTCTCTGCCCCTCAGGGCATCCCACCGCCTAGACCCAGCCTGTGTCCCCAGCCTCCTTTCCCACTAGGACCCAACTGGTCCTTTGCTGGAGCTAAGCTGGCCACTCCCGGGACAGGCTGTGCTCACTCCTGACCTCACACCTTTATCCATGTTATTCCCTCGTCCTGGAAGGCGGCCCACCCTTCAGAGTCCAGCCCCAACTCCCATTCATTCGTTCAACGCGTATCTAATGAGCATTTGCTTAGAGCCAGGCACTCTTCTGGTCCCTGAGCTCCTGGGACTCTCATTCCAATAAACAATGAAAACAAGCAAACAACTAAAACAATGTAGTATAATATCATGCAGAAAAAATACAACAGGGTGATGTGCCAGAGAGCCCCCTGGATGGGCCGGGAGGGCCTTACTGAAGAGCTAACATTCAGTGTGTGACCCAAGGAACCCAAAGAACTGCGGGGACCTGTTGGAGAAGAATCTTCCAGAAGGAGGAAAGTCTAAGTGCAAAAGCTGGGCTTCGGAGAGGGGAAGGCGAGATTAATGTAGCAAGAGATGCGAGAGGTAGGAGCCAGATCACATAGGTCCTTGTAGGCCAAAGGGCGTATTTTGGAGTTTTTTTTATGTTTATTTATTTCTGAGAGAGAGAGAGAGAGAAAGACAGCGTGAGCAGGGGAGGGTCAGAGAGAGAGAGGGAGACACAGAATCCAAAGCAGGCTCCAGGCTCCGAGCTGTCAGCACAGAGCCTGACGCGGGGCTCGAACCCATGAACCGTGAGATCATGACCTGAGCTGAAGTCGGACGCTCAACCGACTGAGCCACCCAGGCGCCCCCATTTTATCTTTTCAACCAGATTGCGAGCATTTCGAGAACAGGCCTCTGTCTTAGACTTCGTTTAAACCATCTATACCCAAGGAATCCACAGCGCTATGGAAAACAACATCTGGTGGCCGAATTGCGCTTAAACCCACAGTGGCTCCTTCTGCTACTTGCCCTTTCCTTCATCAGACAAAGAGAATCGAAATGAGCTCGGTCCGATCTGGAGAGATGAGGCCTGGATCCTACCCTTAACACGCACCTCAACACACACAGCCTGGCAAACACTGGCCTGGGGAAGGCCCCCCAGGCTGCGAGCTCAGTTCTGCCCTGTACACCAGCTCCCTCGAAAAGAATGAATGTCTTCCGTGGGTTTCAGGGGAAGATTGCCATACCTCTTGCTCCGTGCACCTCTTCTTCTCCTGTGAGGCTCAGCATGAGGAAGGGGTGTGTTGGAGGGAGCATTCCAGTAACTGCAGCCTCGGTGTTCCCAGGGAAATTAGCTAAGGAAGGAATGGGGGTCAAAGAGCAAACCTCTGGGGCGCCTGGGTGGCTCAGTCGGTTAAGCGTCCGACTTCAGCTCAGGTCATGATCTCACAGTTCGTGGGTTCGAGCCCTGCGTTGGGCTCTGTGCTGACAGCCAGCTCTCTCTCTCAGAAATAAATAAAACATTTAAAATTTTAAAAAAAAGGGGGGGGCGCCTGGGTGGCTTAGTCGGTTAAGCGTCCGACTTTCACTTAGGTCATGATCTCGCGGTTCGTGGGTTCGAGCCCCGCGTCGGGCTCTGTGCTGGCTGCCAGCTCAGAGCCTGGAGCCTGTTTCAGTCTGTGACTCCCTCTCTCTCTGACCCTCCCCTGCTCACGCTGTTTCTCTCTCTCTCCTAGAGATAAATAAAACATTAAAAAAAATTTTTTTAAATAAATAAAATTAAAAAAAAAAAAAAGCCAACCTCTTCCCAGACCCCAGTCCTGCCTCCGGCATCTCCAGAGAAAGAAAGGGAATAAAAACTCCCACACCCGCTGTCCCAAATCCTGAGCCTGTCATGAGGCCGGGGCGCCTGGATCCTCCTCCCCACCAAATCCCAGCGTCTCAGTTGTCTGGGTTCCCAGCAAGATGGGTCATTGCAGAGACAAGAACAAGGAAAGAAGAGAGAGCTCCGGCACACAGGTGGGGGGGGGCGGGGGGTTATTATTTCACGGGGACAGAGTTTTGGCGTCGCAAGGTGAAGAGGTCTCGAGACGGACGGCGGAGATGGTTACCCCGAACTGAGACACTTAAGGCCACTGAGCCATCAGAATAGCTAAGGCGGTACATCCCAGTCAACCATACTCCGATAAAAACAGATGGGAAATTGGGGCGCATGGGTGGCTCAGTTGGCTGAGCCATCCGACTCTGCATTTCAGCTTAGGTCGTGATCCCAGGGTCGTGGGATCGAGCCCCGCGCTGGGCTCCACATTGGGCGTGGAGCCTGCTTAAACAACAAAAGAAGGTTTGAAAGGAACTATGCACGAGGTTAATGATCGCATCATAAGCACCATCTCTCGTGCATCGGACACTTGCTGTAGGCCACGCACTGTGCGAGGCCTACACCCCTGATCCGCTGTGAGAGGGGTGTGCGAGGGCCTATCCCCGTGGTCAAATCTTCACAACAAGCCTCGGAGTGGGGTAGCTTTCCCATTTGGCAGGTCAGGAGTTGTAGGAGTTGTTCAAGTTCATACCTTGAAAAGCTCACCTCCTTGGCGGTCCTTGGTAGAACTTGCAACCACATTCTCACAGGGATGTGTATTAAGGCATCGCACGTGTCTCCTTAGCTCTCCCCCAAGACTCTGGTTCTCCGGGACCAGGGCTGAGTCTCACTCATCTTTGGGGTCCCTGTGGACTACCTAACTCAGAGGTATGAGTACGGTCAACCGAGAAACTCAGTTAAAAGAAGGAAAAAGGGAAGAAAGGGAAGGAGGGAGGGAAGAGAGGAAGCACAGAAGGGGGAGTGAGGGGGTGGACCAGGCCTGGAGGCTGTCGGGTATCCTGCCAAGTTCCGGAAGAGTCTGCAAGGGTGCGAGAGAGGCAGGGGACACTGGGCAGCCACTGTAGGCACCCTCGTTGGGGGCCTGGCAGAGTCTGTGTCAAGGCAAAGTCAGTCTTAATGAAAGAGTGTAGACAGCTCTGGATGGTAATCAGGAATCCTGGAATCTAGGACAGCCTGGAGAAAGAGAGGTTGGGGGTGCAGGGATGAGACAAAAGCCAGCCTCCCGGGAAGAATCCTCAGGGACGAAAATTCAGGAGGCTGCCGCTCAGAAGAACCCTTGATGGAAACCCAGGTGCCTTTAAATCCTTTAACCCTCCCCACCCCCCACTGGCTCACACCCGAGGCCCCCACGGGACTGGTTTCTTTTCATTATTCAAGTCTTTGCTCAAGTGACACTGCCTTAGAGAGGCCGTCCCTGACCACCCGGCTAAGGCTGTCGTCGACTACCGCCCTCGATTACGTTATAGGATCTTATTCCCTTTATAGCACCAACCACTACCTGAAATGATCACGCTTATTTATTTTTCTTACGGGCTGTCTGCTCCCACCCCCCCACCCCGTTAGGTCCACAAGAACAAGCATCGTGTCTGTCTTCCATCCACTTATCCTCGGTGTCTAGAACAGTGCCTGGCACACAGTAGGTCGTCAATGACTCTCGGTTGAATGGACATACCCAATGGCCCAGGCAGGCCCCGAACATTGCCCAGGGGACCGGGGTTGAATTTGGGCTTCCCGGCCACACTGAGGACGCTCCGAAAACACTCTGCCTGTGTGGGAGCGGCTATAGACCAGCAAACTGGGAATTGCGAGGGTCCAAGGAGACGCTTTGTGTCTTCCACGCCAAGGTCTCTCCTGGAACCTCCTTACCCTGGGGGCATTGAGGTCCTGGCTGATCCCTGCAGAAGGGGGATGACATGTCCAATGAGTGACTCACCCTGTTGCCGGGGTGACTGGTAGGAAAATCATTTTAAGAAGCCAGGAGGCTGGGACGCTGGGATCTCCATGGGTTGTGGAGACGGGGGATGGGCTAGCTAACGGTTCTCTAGAGGAGGAAGAATGGAGCGCCGGGGCTCGGAGGGTGCCCCAAGTAGGGGTTGGGACACCAAAATTCTGCAGAGGTGCGGGAAAGGGGCAGGGGACTGGGTCACCACGTTCTCTGAGGGCCGAGCTATTCGTGAATCTGTTTTTCCCAGCTGAGACCAGCATAAACCAGCTCTGGCTTGATGGAATCGACACAAATTCGTCTGGGAACGCGGCAAGTGCACCAAAGCGAGACTGGGAGAGACGCAGGCTGCTTCGCCCTCTACCCCACTCCCTTTCTCCTTCTCCCTGCGGCTTCCACCCCTTTCCCCAAAGCCCCTGCCCCCACCCCTTGATGGCTCTCTCATGCCCCCTGCTGCTCATTCTCGGCACAGCAGTGGCCCTGCTAAGGGAATAATTGGAATCCATTTCTTCCCTTCCTTCCAGACCTCTCTCCGGGCCCGCCTCGGCGGCGAGGGGAAAGCTGAAGTCCCACAGGCTGGGGAAGGAGGTGGGCTCCTGGCTCCCAGGAAGTGACCCGTATCTGGCGCACGTGTGTGTCTGTCTGCGGGTGCTGCTGGACTCCCAGCCAGAGAGGCTTAACCAGACGAGGTTAAGGCCCCGGGTCTCCAAGCTCTTACAGTTCCCTTTACGGCGCTTATCAGTTTCCAATTATCCACTTGCTTGTTAGTCTCAGATGGAGGACCCCCCAGGGGACTGTGATCAGCAAAAGGGCAGGAAGTGGGGGGTAGTCACCGATACAGCCCACCGCTCAGCACGGTGCCTCGTACGTTGCACGTTGCGGATACCCAGTAAAGATGTGTTGAATAAATGAATGAGTGACATTCAAGGGGATTCTCTGCTGGAGGTTTAATGGGTGGTGTCTGTGTCATTGCCTAGGCTCTGGGGACAGCTGTGAGTCCAGATGTTCTGACTTCTGTTCAGGGCCCGGTCCATGTCCAGCTTCTGGCCTTGTGCCCAAAGGCCATCCAAGCAAAAGGAGGCTGAAGCAGCCTCTCCTAGAGGGAGGGGGTACAGGGGGTCGTTAGGGCAGCCTGGACCCACAAAGCTCCTCCCTACCCCGGCTCTCTGACCTCAGTCTTCTAGAGCACTTCCTCCCACTGGCTCTTTATCCCCTCCATCCCTTCCAGAAGTTTCCTTTCCCTAATAAGTGCCCTCAGTTGCCTCCTCCTCCCCTCTGGCTGACCCCAGTGATGTGCTGCGGGATTCTCATACCTGGAAGGGCCCCCAGGAAGAGGCGTGCGTGGGGCTGGACCCAGAGGTTGAGGAGGGAGCCAGGGTCTGAGAGACGCAGGGCTAGGATCTCCGTCTCAGGCCCCTGGCTCAAGGTTACCCCAGACGCGGCCAGCTTCAGCTGAAGAGGGGCTCCCAAGACCAGAGGCAGATGCAGCTGTGGTCCCCATGCAGAGGACAGCACCACTTTCTGCAGAGCGTGTGGAATAGGGACGTGACTGGGGGAGGAAAGACCAAACCGCCCGGACCCCCTGTGACCCTGCCCTTGCTGCCTCATCTGAGCCTCTGAGCCGCACCTTCTATCTACCCACCATTTCCACCCCCTATGTGCCGCCCAAATTTTCCCGGCTTGATGTTCCCTAAAACCACAGTGATCCCACACAAATACAATTTTAAAAAAAGCCATTGTGGGGGCACCTGCTGGCTCACTCGGTAGAGCATGTGGCTCTTGATCTTGGGGTTGTGAGTTCAAGCCCCACGTTGGGTGTAGAGATTACTAAGAAATAAATTCTTGGGGCGCGTGGGTGGCCCAATCCGTTAAACATCCGGCTCTTGATTTCGGCTCGGGTCATGATCCCAGGATTGTGGGATCGAGCCCCGCCGTGGGCTCCTCGCCCAAGCACGGAGCCTGCTTAGGATTCTCTCTCCCCCCTCTGTGCTCCTCTCCCCCACTAGCACATGCATGCGCGCATGTTCTCTCTCTAAGATTAATAATAAATTAGGGCATCTAGGTGGCTCAGTCGGTGAAGTGGCTGACTTCAGCTCAGGTCGTGATCTCGCGGTTCATGATTTCGAGCCCCGCGTCGGGCTCTGTGCTGACAGCTCGGAGCCGGGAGCCTGTTTAAGATCCTGTGTCTCCTTCTCTCTCTGCCCTTCCCGTGCTCACGCTCTGTCTCTCTGTCTCTCCAAAATAAATAAACATTAAAAAAATAATTAAAAAAATAGGGGCGCCTGGGTGGCTCAGTCGTTGGGCATCTGACTTCAGCTCAGGTTACGATCTCATGGTTGGTGGGTTCAAGCCCCGCGTCGGGCTCTGTGCTGACAGCTCAGAGCCTGGAACCCGTTTCAGATTCTGTGTCTCCCTCTCTCTCTGACCCTCCCCTGCTCACGCTGTCTCTCTCTCTCTCTCAGAAATAAATTTTAAAAACAAATAAATAATAAGTCTTTAAAAAGTATAAGTAAAGGAAAACAAATCTAAATAAATAAGTTAAAAAAATGCCATTTGCTTGCTGTGGGAAGCTTCAAGACGTGTCCCTGTCCCCCACCTTAAGCTTTCCTGATATTGACGATTTAGGGTCCGCCTTCCCTCCTGCCACTCCCAGGCTCCACTGAATACAGGCAGCACCCCCTCTTACTTGATCTTGGAGCTGGAGGCTGAGCCGGGGAGGGTTTTCTGGGGTCCCAAGGGCAAGGAGGTGACCGGAGCCTGCTGCCAGCTGGAGTCCCAGGCTCAGAGAGAAGGCCCAGGGCTCTGCATGAGGCTGGGGGAGGTCTGGGGGGAGAAGTGATCCTCCTAAGGACTCTAGGCTGGGGACTCGTAGAAGGAGAGCAGTGGTGGAGGGAGACGGGGGAGGCAGACGCGGAGCTGGCCACGGAGGGAAAGATCGTCTTTACCTTGGAGACTGAATTCCGCGTGAGCCCCTGGAGGGAAGAAGGAGCCGGGTTGGGACTCCACGCCGCAGCTCCTGGGGCTGCCACTGAGGGCGGACACCGAGGTCTGGGCCTGATGGTCCAGCCAGCTGTCCCGGCGCACACAGCCGTCCAGGGCGGGGACCAGCTGGAGCCGGTGCAGGGAAGGGAAGACACGGGGATGTGGCCATCGAGACACAGGAGCCTCCTTCCCAGCCGCTCCACGCTCAGTTTCTTCCCCTCTGAGACCCAAGCCTTTGGTCTCTCCTGCAAAGCTGTGATGCTGTCCCCTCCCCTTGAAGAGTGTGGCCCTAGACCCCCATGATCCCCCGCCCGCCCCCAACCAGCAACACATCACCAGCTGTGGTTGGTTCCCACCCCTGTGATGTCGTTACCGGCAGGCGGAGACTGGAGGGAGGGAAGGGCAGCCCTCCCACTGCAATCCTCACGACGGGCTGGGGTCTGCTGGCCAGAGGCCCGAAGACCTGTTTCAAGCACAGCACCTCCTCTCCGTCCACAGTCAGCAGCAGCAAATCCCCGAGAACTTTCACTTCCACCTGCAGGGAGGAGCCAAGTGTAATCAGAGCCCCCCCGGGGCCTGCCCCCCCCCCCCCGTCCACAGAGGCAGAGGCAGCCACGTGCGGCGGGAAGAACATGGACTTGTGGCGACAGCTAGCATCCTGGGCTCACTCAAGGCGCGAGCCTTGAATCCCCCTCCGAAAAAACAGAGACCAGAATAGCGACTCCATGGGGGTTCTGTTGCAGATTAAAAACGACCCCAGAGGTAAGAGGTTGCCCGCAAACCCGCTTCCCTTCCTCTTCCGGGGACCAGCTCGGGCCCAGAGCCGGCTTACCTGGTGCCACTTGCCATCGTCCAGCCGGGGCCCAGCGCCCACTGTCAGGCGGGCCACGTGGTTGTGCATCTGGATCTCGGGCCTGCCACCTCGAAGTCCCAGCATAAACCAGTCCTCGTGGGGGTCGGTGTCGCCGTACAAAATCACTCCCTCTGGATCCCAGGTTCGAAGCTCAAAGGAGGAGGAGGTTCTGGAAGGACACGTTAGGAAAGGTGGCGTGCGGGGTCTGCCCTGTGGGGACACAGCAGGGCCGGGGATGGGGAGTGGCAGGCACGGACGCAGGACAAAGGGAAGATGTGAGGGACGGAAGGTGGGGTCCGGGGACCAGGTGAAGGGGCCGTGGCAACCTCATACTTCCTCATCTTGGTGAAGTCAAAGGTCATGATGGTGACAGGCCCTTGTCCTGAAGCACTGCTGAGGTGCACAGCCGGAGGGTCCTGGATCCTCTATCAGAGAGAGGAAATAAACAAGGTAGAACGAGGAGGGCGCCCCAGAGACTTGGCGACAGCAGGAGAGTCACACAGCTGCCGCGCAAGCGGAGGAAAGGAAGGGAAGAAGGCCAAGCCAGTGTAGCTCATTCCACTGCACACAGGGGACATTGGCACTTTGTCCCAATCCTGAACCTAAATGCAGGGACTAGGTCTCGGGGCCTGTACCTGGTGGCTGTGAGGTAGCAGCAGCAGCAACAGCAGCAGAAGCAGCAACCGCCGCCGTGGCGATGTGGCCAGCGGACCTCTGCCCTCCATGACCAGGCACGGTCCTGTCTGTGGCTCAGATCACCCTGGGGAGAATATGTTGGGGACAGGCAGTTGGTATTGGGTTAAAGGTTGCCCTGGGGGGAAGAAGGGGGGCAGGAGACCGGGCACTGACCCTCCACCCCCTTCTGCGGGGACAAATCTGGGGAGGGACAGAGGTCCTCGACTACGCTCCCCCTGCTGGGAAATTGCAGGAGCTCGGACAGGTTACTCCATTTACCCTTCTCCTTCTAGAGCCTGACCTGGGTCCTCGAAGTCTTTTGCCCACCAGAGGAGGCTGCCTTCCCAGGCTTGAGATCCCAGAACAGCCATGCCGGGCACCCCGAGCAGCATCCTCCCTCCGACAGCTGAGGGGCGGGCGTCTGGGTGGCTCAGTCGGTCAAGCATCTGACTTTGGCTCAGGTCCTGATGTCATTGTTGGTGAGTTTGAGCCCCACCTCTGGCTGTCTGCTGTCAGCCTCGGGCTGTTTGGAATCCGTGTCTCCCTCCCTCTCTCTGCCCCTCCCTCCCCTCCAAAATAAATAAACATTAAAAAAAAAAAGCAGCTGAATCGGGGAATAGCAAATATCTAGCTGGGTGACTCTGGGTAAGGCCTTCCACCATACTGCTTTAGCGCGTCCTCCCTGGCGACATGTGAAAAATAATACCTACTTGATGGGGTGACTGCAAATGAGGATTAATTGAGATCGTGCAGGCACACTGCCTGGTGTCTGCTGAGCTCCTCCCTCACTAGTTTCCCAGGCCTCAGCGGGAGGTACTGTCCCCGAGTGTGATTTACTGGCTACTAAGAAGAGGCCCCGGCCCCCGCTGCTCATTATCTTCTCTTACCCAGTGATTGCAAGGTTTCCCCGTGGACCCAGAGAAACTCGTCACCCTCTTCCACTACTCCCGAGAAAAGCGACCCTCGGAGCCCCTCAAGACCCCTCGGAAACAGCTCTCAGAGCTGGAGCGGGGCCAGGGAAGGCGAGGAGGGTGCTTAGCACCGGGGGTGGGGTGCGGGGTGGGGGGTTGGGGGGGGTGTGCTTAGGGCCAGGTGGCAGGTGACTTTTGATCCGTGGGGTTTCAACCACAGAGGCCGGGACACCCAGCACCCGGGCAACCACAGCGAGGTGACTGCAGCCTGGCCCTGACCCCTGCCCTACGGGCCTTGTCACGGGGCGCGTGCGCGGAGGAGGCGGTGGGGGGCAGGGCTAGGGCGGCGGGGCGCGCCTGCTCCGCCCGCGGATTGGCTGGCGGGGGCGCGCCCCGGGCAGGGTGCGGGGCGCTGGGGGCCGCGACGCGCGGAGGGCCACCGCGGCCCCCGCTCCCCTGCGCGCTGCCCGCGGCGCTCCCGGCTCTGCGGGGCCCGGTTTGGAGGCCAGAACGAGGGCACCCCTGCCTTTCAGCCCCTTCTGCGGAACGGAAGGGAGGGTCCCGGACTTCAGTCCCAGACGGCGGGGATGGCGACGGCTTCCGTGCGGATCCGACAGGCCGAAGAGGGAGACTGTGGAAATATCCTGAGGCTGATTCGGGTGACGGCTGCGGGCCGGAAACCGGGGGCCCGGAGCGGGTCCCGGCCGCGCGGCCGCGGGTGGGGGCGGGGAGGCCGGGCCGCAGCGGGAGGGGCGCGCCCCGGGGGCGGACCCTGCCGGGATCTAGACTCTGTCCCCACGCCGGGACGCCGTGCCCTGACCCGGCCTCTGTCCCCACGCCGGAACGCCATGCCCTGACCCGGCCTTTGCCCACGTCGGGACCCACTGCCCTGACCCAGCGTCTGCCCACGCTGGGGTCCCCCTGCCCTGACCCAGCCTCTGTCCCCACCCTGGGGTCCCCCTGCCCTGACCCAGCGTCTGTCCCCACCCTGGGGTCCCCCTGCCCTGACCCAGCGTCTGCCCTGCCCCCGCACCGGCACCCCCTGCCCTGACCCGGCCTCTGTCCCCACGCCGGGACCCCCTGCCCTGACCCAGCCTCTGTCCCCACCCTGGGGTCCCCCTGCCCTGACCCAGCGTCTGCCCTGCCCCCGCACCGGCACCCCCTGCCCTGACCCGGCCTCTGTCCCCACGCCGGGACGCCATGCCCTGACCCGGCCTTTGCCCACGTCGGGACCCACTGCCCTGACCCAGCGTCTGCCCACGCTGGGGTCCCCCTGCCCTGACCCAGCCTCTGTCCCCACCCTGGGGTCCCCCTGCCCTGACCCAGCGTCTGCCCTGCCCCCGCACCGGCACCCCCTGCCCTGACCCGGCCTCTGCCCAGCCAGGACCCCCTGCCCTGACCCAGCCTGTGTCCCCCACACCCTAGGAACTAGCCGAGTACGAGAAACTCTCCGACCAGGTGAAGATCACTGAGGAAGGTGGGGGCCCAGCACCCGCGACCCGATGGAGGCTGGGGAGGAGGTGAGGGATGGGGTCCCAGGCCCAGCGCACACCCAGGTTTTTTGTCTGTTGACCACGACTTCGGTCTCCGCAGCCCTGAGAGCAGATGGCTTCGGAGAGAATCCTTTCTATCACTGTTTGGTGGCTGAACTTCTTCCCGCCCCCGGGGAGCCACAGGGTAAGAACCCCGGGACCTGGGAGGGTCCCCTCTGCCTGTCCCTCTCAGAGGCTTCGCTCAGGGGCCCAGAGGCCTGAGCCCCTTTTCCTCTCTCCTTCTCAGGGCCCTGTGTGGTCGTGGGCTACGGGCTGTACTACTTCATCTATAGCACATGGAAAGGGCGCAACGTTTATCTGGAAGATATTTACGTGAAGCCCGAATATCGGGGTACGGGGAGGGGTGGGGCGGGAGGGGGGGCAGAGGCTGAGGCAGAGGTGGTAGGAAATCAACCCAGACCCACCAGCATCCCCTGTCCCGTGATCCCAGCCCTATGGCCTTTTTGGATCCCCTTCAACTGAAGCAATCTTTTTTTTTTTTTTTTTTTTTGCCTCTTCCCCCCTCCCCCCACAACAGGTCAGGGGATTGGTTCCAAAATAATCAAAAAGGTGGCTGAGGTGAGGAGAGGGATGGGGCCACCAGCAAGCGTGTATGCGGGCTGAATGGGGAGGAAGCCTTGCCCTGTTTGAGGGGAAGAGTAAGTGCATCTCCTCCCACAGGTGGCCCTGGAAAGGGGCTGCTCCCAGTTTCGCCTGGCAGTCCTGGACTGGAACGAGAGGGCCATGAACTTGTACAAGGCCCTCGGAGCCCGTGACCTGACCGAAGCTGAGGGCTGGCACTCCTTTCGCTTCGAAGGGGAGGCGATGAGGGAGTTGGCAGGAAAGTGAGGCCATTCCTTGGGCATCTCGCTCTTTGGCCTCCCCCCACCCACCCCCACCTGCTCAAGCACTCCTCAGAGACTTGTCCCCACTGACGACGGCCTCCCTGAAGGAAGAGAGGTTGGGAGTCACCAAACCGGAAGTAGGGAAAGAGCAGAATTGAGGGAGAGGCCCTTCCGCCTCCTTGGTGAGGATGAGAAATAAATGAGAATTACTGTATCCTGATGCGGTGCTGATAGAGCAGTTGATGGTACGATAAACCTCCAGCCAGTTCAGGAGACTTCCGAGCGCCCTGGTTGCTGGAGGCTGCTGCTGGGGGGAAAGGTGGCTCCGAGGGGACTTCCACTCACCCCCACTGGGCCGCAGTCTTGGCTCTGGGCTGTGGAATAGAGAGAAAAGAAGAGCGAGGGGCCGGCTTGGCCCAGGCTTGGGTTGACACCAGGCTTGTCACATTTGGGACCCAGACAAAGGCCTCCAGTGTCTGGAAGCCGCAGTGCAGGACAAATGGAACAGGCTGCCACCTGCTGGTGGTGTTTCGGGGGCCTTGGGAAGGACCACTTGCCTCAACTTAAAAAAAAAATCAGTTCAGCTGGTGAGCGCTTTTTTTTTTTTAATCAAAAGTCACAAAGTCCGTATTTTCAGTTCAGCAAAACCAAAGGACCTATGAAGACCAGGAGGGACACAAGCCATGTCCTACTTTGATACTCTTTTCTTACTCAGGTAACGTGGGTTTGTTGTAGAAAATTTGGAATGATCATGTGAAATAAAAGTAGAATCCATAGGGGTGCCTGGGTGGCTCAGTCTGTGGAGCATCTGACTCATGACCTCAGCTCAGGTCTTGATCTCAGGGTTGTGGGTTCAAGCCCCATGTTGGGCTTCACGAAAGGAATAAAGAAGAAGTAGAACTCGAAGCCTTACTTACGTGACTATTATTAACCCTTTGGTATTGACTCTTCAGAATTTTCAGGGTCCGTATATACACGTGAGTAGTTAAGTGAGTAGAGATGGGATAGTATAGTCTCTAACAATATATCAGAACTATCTTTCTGTGCCATTAAACATACATCTGTCATCACTTTTGTGATGCCATCTTATTCTTTTTGTTGATGAACCAATGAGTAAATGGTCATAATTTAGGCACTGAATAAGGGCAGGCAGGTAACCTAAATGTATAAATTGTAAGAAACAGAATCTCTGGACTTCTGCGGAAATGTAAAGAATTGGAGACCTCGGGCGCCTGGGTGGCTCAGTCGGTTGAGCGTCCAGCCTCAGCTTAGGTCACGATCTCGTGGTTTGAGGGCTCAAGCCCCACGTCTGCTGTTAGCACAGAGGCTGCTTTGGATTCTCTGTATCTCTCTCTCTCTGTCCCGCTCTCTCTCTCAAAAAGAAACAAACATTGAAAACAAAAATAAAAAATTGAAGATCTATCTTCAAATCTAAATTTAAAAAAAAAGGAGGGGTGCTTGGCTGGCTCAGTCAGAGGAGCACACAACTCTTGATCTTAGGGTCGTGAGTTTGAGCCCCATGTTGGGTGCAGAGATTACCTAAAAATAAAATCTTAAAAAAAAAAAAAAAAGATTCAGCCAGAAAGAACACATTGGGGCTCAGTTCTTCTTGAATGATGCCAGTTTGGGGACCTTAAAACTCATTTAGAGCAAATGGGCCTTTAGGATAATCTTGATCAAGAGGTAGTGAAGCTGGCCAACCTCTCCCTGACACGGGAGCCAGAAAAATCCAGTCTCCTGTGCTTGGCTCATCTCAGTCTGACAGGGATTTATATCTTTGGAGTATAATCAATTTAGCTAGTGACGGGGCTGTTTTTAAACTTCAATTGCATTAGAATGCATCATCTCTGGAGAGATGCATAAAGGAACACAGAGTGAGTGACCTTGACTCTGAGAAGGGGATCTCAGTGGCCAGGGGACAGCTTTTCCCACTTGCCACTTGGGATTTCTTGAATTTTCTGCCATGCCGGGTATCATTTCTTGAAAAAAAGGATACATGAATACAACTTAATGCAGGGACACCCGGATGACTCAGTGGGTTAAGTGACCAACTCTTGATCTCAACGCACCATCTCACCGTTCATGGGTTCAAGCCCCACATCGGGCTCTGCTGCTTGGGATTCTGTCTCTCCTCTCTGCCCCTCACCTACTTCTGCTCTCTCTATCTCTCTCTCAAAATAAATGAATAAACTGAAAAAAATTTAGCGCAGAAGCAAAGGGCAAAAAGTAGGAAACTTAGTATTTCTGAAATTTGTCTTGTCGCCAACTTTTTCTTGGTTTGTTTATTTTGAGACAGAGCATGAGCAGGGGAGGGACAGAGAGAGAGGGAGACACAGAATCAGAAGCCGGCTCCAGGCTCCGAGCTGTCAGCACAGAGCCCGAGGTGGGGCTCGAACCCACGAACCGCAAGATCATGACCTGAGCCCAAGTCAGATGCTTAACCGACTGAGCCACTCAGGCGCCCCAGTATTTTTTTTAATCATAAATATACATCTTATTTATTTATTTAAAATGTGTATCTTGTTTTTGTTTGGGTTTTTGGTTTTTGAAAGAGAGCGAGCCAGCGGGTTCGGGCAAAGAGGGGGACAGAGGATTCAAAGCAGGCTCCACGCTGACAGCAGTGAGCCAGATGCAGGGCTGGAACTCGCCAACCCTGAGACCCTGACCCGAACCTGAGTCAGCTGCTCAACCAACTGAGCCACACCCAGGCACCCCAACTTGACACTATTTAAAGAGTCAAACACTTCTATAGCCTGATAGAAAAAACAGTAGTCTTGGGGCACCTGGGTGGCTCAGTCGGTTAAGCGTCTGACTTTGGCTTAGGTCATGAACTCACGGTTGGTGGGTTCGAGCCCCACGTCTGGCTCTGTGCTGACAGCTCGGAGCCTGGAGCCTGCTTCAGATTCTGCGTCTCCCTCTCTGTCTGCCCCTCCCCCGCTCACACTCTGTCTCAAAAATAAATACACTATAAAAAACTTTTTTGAAAAGAAAAAACAATAGTCTTACAACTCCCAGGGTTCCTGAAAGACCATTGCTTTGCAATCGTGTTATTATGTTTTGCCTTGGACTTATCTGTATATGTCAGACTAAAAATAGCACGCAAATGTTGCCACTTCTAGATGCCTCTGTTTTAGCCTGAGCCTTGACTTCCCACTGCTAACTCTGTGTTCCGCCCCCGCCAGGACCACACCCCCATTTCCCAGCCTCCCATGCTTCCAACATGCTATCATTCTGGATGGATCGGTGGGGTGCTTCCGCTGTCAGGATTATGCAAAGGCTCCTCACTGGTGAGCCCTGTGGATCTTTTCCGAACCATTTACGTTTCCTGGAATTAATACTTGCTTCCTTTTTGTTTGCTTGCTTAGTTTTCTGGGTACTGCACCCCGAAATTCTCTTTCAGTTGTGTTAATGCGCGCTAAGGATGTACAAACACACGTAAGGAATTTGGTCTCTTGCATTTGAAGAATTTTCTAGCAGAGACTTTATACCTGTTCCAGCAGAGAAAGGCTGATCTTTAGACCGTCCTGCTGAATCTCCCTTCATATCCACCTTCTTCTTTTTTTTTTTTTTAATTTTTTTTTAATGTTTTATTTATTTCTAGGAGAGAGAGAGAGACAGCGTGAGCAGGGGAGGGTCAGAGAGAGAGGGAGTCACAGAATGAAACAGGATCAAGGCTCTGAGCAGGCAGTCAGCACAGAGCCCGACGCGGGGCTCGAACCCACGAACCGCGAGATCATGACCTAAGTGAAAGTCGGACGCTTAACCGACTAAGCCACCCAGGCGCTCCATCCACCTTCTTCTTCTTTTTTAACGTTTTTATGTATTTATCTTGAGAGACGGAGAGTGAGCGTGGGGGAGGGAGAGAGAGAATTCCAAGCAGGCTCTGCACCATCAGCCCAGAGCCCAGAGTGGGGCTTGAAATCAAGAGATGCTTAACCAGCTGAGCCACCCGGGCGCCCCTCACACCCATCTTGCGGATTCCCTTTGCCTATCTCTCTCTCAGGTGGATACCCTGTTTCCCCCAACCTGTCTCTCCATTTTTTCCTTGGTTTATTCTGATGGAGCTCCTTCAGAAAAGGTGCTTGGGAGATAAATGTGTTGGGACCTTGGAGCACCTGGCTGGCTCGGTTGGAAGAGAATGCGACTCTTCTTTGTTTTTTAATTCTTTTTTTTAAAATTTTTTTAAAAATTTATTTCTCAGAGAGAGAGAGAGAGACAGCGTGAGCAGGGGAGGGGCAGAGAGAGACACAGAATCCGAAGCAGGCTCCAGGCTCTGAGCTAGCTGTCAGCATGGAGCCTGACATGGGGCTCGAACCCACGAACTGGGAGATCATGATCTGAGCTGAAGTTGGACGTTCAACCCACTGAGCCACCCAGGCGCCCTGAGAAAGTGACTCTTGATCTCAAGGTGTCAGGGTTGTAAGTCTGAGCCTGACGTTGGGGGTAGAGATTACTTAAATAAAAACTACAAGACATTTTTTGGGGGGCACAATTTATTCCCCTCCATATTTCTGTTGTCTCTTTCTGGAATTTTCACTATTCAGGTGTTGAATCCCGTGGAATAGTTCTTTAATTTCCTTATGTATTTTTAACTTTTTTTTCCATCTTCTTCACTTTTTGTTCAACTTTCTGAGATATTTCTTTTAATTTTTTAAAAAACATTTTAGAAAGAGATAGTGCAAGTGAGGGAGGGGGCAGAGGGAGAGAGAGACAGAGAGAGAGAGAGAGAGAGAGAGAGAGAGAGAGAATCCTAAGCAGGGTCCACGCTCAGTGTGGACCTCAAGGCAGGGCTCAATCCCACAACCATGGGATCATGACCGGAGCCAAAATCAAGAGTCAGACAGACGCTCAACTGACTGAGCCACCTGGGTACCCCTCTGGAAGATTTTTTCAAATTTTACTTTCCAACACTTCCGTTGAATTTATAGTTCTGCTTTCATGTTTTTAATTTCTAAGAGCTCTTTTTTGTTTTTTGTTCTTTGCCTTTGAAAAACATTCTGGGGGCGCCTGGGTGGGTCAGTCGCTTAAGCGTCTGACTTCAGCTCAGGATCTCACGGTTCGTGGGTTCGAGCCCCGCATTGGGTTCTGTGCTGACAGCTTGGAGCCTGGAGCCTGCTTCAGATTCTGTGTCTCCCTCTCTCTCTGCCCCTCCTCCACTCGCACTCTGTCTGTCTCCTTAAATAAATAAACATTAAAAAAATTAAAAAAGAAAAGAAAAACATTCTGCTGTTTCATGGATATATATTCATGTTTCTGCGGATGATACTTTTTTTATAAAAGTTTTTTTCTTTTTGCATAGTCTTTCATTTTAGAGGCTTTCCTCAAAAATCAGGCAGTCCTCAGTTGTCTGCTCATATTTAGGACTGGGATGCTAAGGTACAAGTGGAAACTGTGTGTGCATGCGCGTAAGGCATGGCGGGTAAGGAGGCATGTTGGCTCTAGACTTCACTTCATTGTAGGGCGACGCACGAGGCCGTTTCCTTGAGGAACCCCCAATGCCAGTATCCTTAGGTCTTTTTTCTCATCTGATCAGATTTCTCAGAAGACTTTCCCAGACTCCCACATGGAAAGCAGA